CGTTTCATCAGACAGTGCCTGCAACAGCAGCTGGTACGAGCTGTTGAGGGCTACAGTGGAGGTGTGGGTGAAGGGCCGGGAGCAGGAAGAGAGGCAGGGGCTCCAGAGGCCTCCGAATCCACCCCGTAAGTGCAGCAGGCGGTGGCAGGAACTCCAGGTGAGGAGAACTGCCTGGTGTCTCTGGGAGGGGCTCAGGGAGGATGCCAGGAATGGAGGAGGAGAACACTTTCCTCCTCCAGTGGTACCCCCTCCTCCTGGAGACCAGAGGACACCCCTCTGTCTTCCTGGCCCTACTCCAGAAATGGACTTCTCATCTCCATCACCACAGCAGGACCCTCCCCCACGGGACGCTTCCTGCTTCTGAAGTCTTCCCCAGGTGACCCTCACTGACAGACTCCACACTGGAAGGCCTGCAGTGTCTCACGTGACCCAGGTGAGGAACCTGGGCAAACACCAGGGCCTGTCATGGGACAGGACTTGAGCAGGTGTGTACAGAGACCAGACGCAGCACCCGGCTCTGGCTTCCCACTTCTCAGCCAGCTTATGGCAAAAGGGATGGTTAAGAGATTAACCCACAGCTGAAACCGGTTTGGCTCAGTGGATAGAGCATCGGCCTGCGGACTGAAAGGTCCCGGGTTTGATTCCGGTCAAGGGCATGTACCTGGGTTGTGGGCACATCCCCAGTGGGGGATGTGCAGGAGGCAGCTGGTCGGTGTTTCTCTCTCATCGATGTTTCTAACTCTCTATCCCTCTTCCTTCCTCTCTGTGAAAAATCAATAAAATATATTTAAAAAAAAAAAAAAAAGAGAGAGATTAACCCACAGAGGGAAGGCTGCCCTAAATCCAAGCCCCACGCTGCCTGCACCTGCTCTCCATGTGAACTCATCGCCGCAGTGGACGCCCCTCAGTGCTCGGCAGGCACCAGAGTCACTCCAAGCCCTTGACATGTATGAACTCTTTTACCCTCTGATAAGCCCCTGGAGTTGCTACCCCCATCAGCCAGCTTTGCAGATGAGAAAACCAAGGTGCAGTAAGATTAAGCTACTTGCCCAGAGTCACTCAGCAAGTAGGAGGCTCCCAGGGAATCCACCTTACTTATAACTCAAAATACCGAAAATAGAAATTATTGACATTTGGGGCCCCAGGTGATTAATTTTCATCCCTCCACTGATATATGAAGTTCGGCATTTATTCTAAAGTCCTGTGAAGGCAGCTATGTGATTTAATGTAAATGGCACTCAATGCAGACAGACCTGGGTTTGAAAGCCAGTTCAAACCCCTGCAACGGCTCTCAGGTGGGTGCCTTAACCACTCCTCACCTGGGCTTCCTCCTTCAATACCCCAACTCCCCTCCCACAGGACCTCCCCAAAGGAGGCACACGCAGACGGTGGGACGGTGTGCAGGAGGTGCTCAGGTCACGTTAGCCCCCTTCTCCTTTGGGATTAAAACGCATCACACTTAAAGGAGACATCTCAGGCTGTCGACAAGAAAGTATGAAGTGACATAAACTTCCACAATGAAAGACGAAGAAAACAACCCAATAAGACAAAATAGGCAAACTATGCATCGTTAATTTACAGAAGCTAAAATGTAAACTAGCAAGAAAAGGTTTTCAATATTGCTGGTTAAGTTGGGAAATGTAACCAAAACAATGTCTTCTTTATCCATTAGATTTGCAAAAACTAACAAAATTTATACACTTCAGCGTTGGATGAGTTAAAAGGAAAAGGCAATTTCACATACCAATGGAAGAAGTACAAACTGAGAAAGCCTCTTGAAAGTGGGGCGCAATTTGGTAACATCAATTTAAAATTACTCTTTGGCCCAGAAATCCTACCTCTAGGGATGTAGATGACTGAAATATCTGCGAGTGTTAACAGTGATACAGTTCACAGATTCCCCACTATTTTTAGAGCAGAAAATTGGAAACAATCTAAATGTCCTTCAAGAAAGAATAGTTAAGTTATGGTCCACCCATACTCCGGCACACTTTCCATGTCAGGCCCCCCTGCATTTGTCCACTGAAAAGGCCTAGAAGCACTGACACCCCCAGTAGCAATGCACACACCTCACACCCAGATCTTGGTTTCTAAATACCATTCTCCACTAAAAGGAACCAAGACTCTGGAGAAATGGCTGATTCCAGGGCTGGAAAGTACAGGTTGAATCTTGAAGACTTTGTGCCAGCAGGTAAAGCAATTCCCAAAGAATGAAGAGGACTCGTATAAAGGACATATGAGTCAGCACGATGGGGCCCCTGCCGGCCAAGTCTGGGACAATTTAAGCAACACAATGCATAGTAATGAGAGTGACAGACTATATAATCTATTGCATAAAGATGGAATTCATGGCGCAGAAATGTAAATCAAAGAATAAGAGAGAAAGGAAAGTTCTTCCTTTCAGTACAATCCCAACTTATAGGTGTAGAAAAAAACTATGGAATTGGGAAATCCCATCTGTCAGCTATCATCATGCCTGATTCAGGTAAGACTCATCAATGGATTCTAAGAGTAGTGGAGAAAGTGTGAGGAGTAACACACAGTCTCAAGCTGTCTTATTATGAGGTACATGTTAATGGCAACTTTCCTGTGAGGGAATCTGGCGCCTTAACCAAGGGATTAAAGTTAGTCTGACCAGCGAAAGGGACTAATGACAGCATATGGAACATGCTGAGACAGCTGCTCAAAAAAAAAAGTAAGAAGAGCAAGGTGTGCTTATGTATGAAACACAGGTAAATTCCTGAGGGTTAGGTCCACCATGGCATTTTCATTAAAAGCACAGAGACAAAACAAGGTGGGCCTGTCTTGGGGTTCATTCCGGCCTCCCCCAGAATATGGTCTCCTCACAGGCCTTCTGCTCCAGGACACTGGGAAAAAAGCTGTTCTAAATGCTCTCTCAAGACCAGTTCAGCACTCAAGTTCCACAAAGAAGCAACGACATAACCAAGCCTTCTTCACTGCAAATTTGTGCTCATTTTCTCTTGGTGACAGCCGAGCATCCTAACACCATGAGAAGCTGACGATGCTATGAGGACTTTCCTGGGAATAGCTATGTACGTAATCTGAAAAGGAGGTTTCTGTAAGAAACCAGGATAATAGTCTTGGTCCAGAGTCTCCTTCTCTACTCTGCCTGGTTGGATTCTTGAGATGTTCAGGCATGGGATGCGGGTCAGGGGTCAGTTGGTCTCACACACCTTCCCATTCCGTGCCTCTGGTGCATTTACAGGTCTGCTGGCTGGGAAAATGCTCCCAGGTAGGCAGCTGGCTGAAGGGACTTTCAGGGCCAACAGTGCTCTCTGTATCATACTTCCTGCTCGCTGGTGCTTCACAGTTTACAACACACTCTCATGTACATCCTTTTATTTCACCCTTCCCTTAAGGTGATTTAAAAAAAAAACAACAAAAAAAAAAACCCCTAACATTCAGTTTAACAGCCTTGTGACAAAATATCCAGTTTTCAAAACAATGTGATAAACTATGTCCCCCTTTGACTTCGAATCTACTTGGGAAGCAGGACTTGTACCTGAGTAGATAAACACTCTGCGATGGCATAAGCCAAATAAAAAAAATAGGTTAAGTAGCTACTAGAATTAGTATGATTAATTCTGTCACTGAGTTCAGTAGAAATCCCGCCCTCCTTTGTCTTTGGATCTGTCCAGCATCCATTCATTTAAGCCCTGTCTTCTGGACAAACCATCCTGGTAACTCTGGCTTGTTGCTCTACAGCCGTGTTTACCCCGCGCAGCAGGAGGTCTGGTGGGGCTCTGTTCACAGGCTCGGCCACCCCAGGGACCAGACATGGTCTTCCGACACAACCCTTCAACAGAACAACCACACCTTCCCATGTGGGCACCATCATGCATCTTTCTTCACAGAAACCAATAAATTGAATCTTCTAGGAGTAAACATTTCTGCAAAGAACTCCCCAACATTTCTGCAAAGAACTCCCCAAAAGAAAGGCCCCAGCCTAGATCCAAAGACAAAATTCCCCTTAAAGAAAATTCCTCTCAACCAAAGAAAAACTAGGTTTGCTTCTTTACCAACGCCAAGGGCACGGAGGTTCCAAAACACTTCAGAACAAGAGTTAGCAGGTGGCAGATCCAGGATCACACGCAGCGGGACTGCTGTCCCCGCGCCCCTGGCTTGCCCACAGTCCACACCATCCTCGAAGCAGGCAGTTTCGCTGCAACATCCAAACTGCCACCCCACCCCCTGGCCTGGGTTTAGGTGCCCTGAGGGGCAGGTGACAAATCAAACACAAAACATTCAGAAGCAACGCGAAAACCTAGAAGATGGGCTTTGCCGCTGCCATACGTATGTCCTACCCAAAGGAATACTTTCATGATCTGTCGTTACAGACGAACCCGGGCAGGAGGCACGCACCATTATGTAATGTCAGAGGGCAGGCCACCAGGGGAAGGGAACGCTGGGCCCACAAGGACAGAATTTACCTCCGACACAGTGTTTCCGTCTTCCATGGCCCACACATTCACGACCGGCTTTCAGAGGGATGCTCACAGCTCCCCGCACACGCCTCAGGCCTCGACTTACTGACTGGCAAAGCCAGAAAGAAAGGAAGAAAGCATAAAAAGCAAAGATGCCAGAAATGCTGTGGGGGCTAGGGGCCGGCAGCCAAGGGCAGAGTCGCGAAGATGGACAGAAGATTTCCCACGTCTGCTTATACCCAATATGTTTACATCCCAAACATGGCGAGGCCTTCAATGTCTGGCTTCGCCACAAACGCCCTGGAGACGCACCGGGCAGGCGCCGGGCCCCGTCCCGCTGTCCCCCGCCCGGATGCCGGGTCTGCATTCGCCCGCGCGCGCAGGGCCGGACGCGCCTCGGAAGACGCGACGGCGACTGCACCGCCGGCTGCCCATTTCCATGACAACCGCGGCGCCGACCGCGTCAGGCGCACGGGTGTCAGGGATGCGCGCCGCCCCCCGCGAGGGGCCTCCGGGTCCCGGCTCCGCGGCGTCGCAGCGCCCCCGGCCACCTACCTGGCCCGCCCGGCCCGCGGCGCCCGCGCCCGGATGTCCCGTCGTTGGCTGGCCAGGTCGCGCGCCCGGGCCCCGCAGCTGCAGCGCCGCCGCTGAGTCGCCAAGTCGTGGGTTCCGGCCGGGCTCCCGGCGCTGGTCCTCCGGCTCCGGCCGCCAACCCGCCGCCCGCGCCGCAGCCCGCACCCGGCACGGCCGCCGCTGTTCTGGAAGCCGGGCCACGCAGCCCCGCCCCGCCCCGCCCCGCCCCGCCCCTGGCCGCGCATGCGCCCCGCCGGGCCCGCCCCGAGAGCGGCTCGGGATCCTGCTCCTGGGCTCCCGCGAGACCCGCGGTCGCCGGCTGTGGCACCTGCGGGGGTCTGGGCCCGCGCACCTGCGCGATCAGGCGTTTCGCTCAGGTGTGAGCCCCTGGGCGTCCCCGCGGTGGGCGGGTCCCTGGAGAGCCGCGCCCGGGACCCGCTCCGCCGTTTGCCCGCGGGATGAGCGCGCCATCCGTGATGCAGGTGCCCTCAGCCCGGGAGAAGTTAGGAAACGCAGCATTTAACCCAGGAACACGCACAATTAACATCCTACTGCCAAATGCAGATACACAAAGAGAAGAGGAACTTCTAACGTCTTCCAGACCTGTGCTGGTACATTACATAAATAGGCATTTGTAGACTTCGCCCCCAAAGCTCTATTTTTTTTTTTACAGGAAAATAAAATAGAATAGTCAGAATTGTGGAAGAAATTTTTTATTTTAATATAACTTTAAACCTTAATATTTCTGCTTGAGCAAGAATAAATACGGAACTGGAGATAAACATTTTTCCTTGAAGTCTTTAAATTCTATCAGAAAAAAAAAGTATTTCTTAAAAATTATTAAAGGAGAACTATTTTAATTCAATAGACCAGAACACTGCTCAGCGTTCACATCTCTCCGGTATGAAAGCAAGCATTTATAATTTGCCTTTAAATGGAAAGATATAAACCTATTAAAAATAAAAGTTAAACAATTCTCTGATCTCATTTAGAATTATATCAGAGACTCCTCATGTCACCAAAAACTAAATGCAGATAATAGTCTGGAATAAAAATAAACAAATATAAAACTACTTTAAAAGTGTAATTTGTTTTTTGACTTTTGACTCTATTTCACATCTGGGGAGTAGTTTATTAACAAAACACTTTTTATTGCTTCTTCAGATAAATGGAAAGAAATGTCAGAACTTTAGCCATACTATAAAATTAAAATCAGAAAACCAAACAAACTTGTGGAAATGCAAAAGTATTTTTATATTTTATTTTCTACAATAAGAGTGACCAATGAGCTAGTGACCAATGAGACAGCCCCAGATGGCACATTTACCCAGCCAAACTATTAATAGGGTACCCTTTCACTCTCAGAAGTGTTCTCAAAAAAGTTCAGACAATACATTTTATGGCCACGCTATCTGTAATCAAGCTGAGAGGGTTTTTAAATCTTAGTTTTTTTTAAAAAAAGAAACTTAAATTCACAAACATTTAAAAATAGACAGTTCAATTTCAACAATTCATTCATTTAACATAGTAACAAACACTGACGTTTGTGGCTTTTTTATTTCTCAATATGAACAACTGTAACAAACATAAAGCCATTCTTCAAAACTATATGAAGCAAATTATCAAACATAAAATAGAAATTCTGAATTGTTAGTCACAGGAACTCAAAATCATGAAGATAATGTTGATTTTTTATGAAATACATACACACACTTTTGTGGAAATGAAATTTTCTGACATTTTTGGTGTTTTTGTGTCCCATTATCTCTTTTCTATAGAAATGATCAGGGCATTTGCCAGTTCTTCTCGTGATGTCATAAATCTTGAGAAGCTACAGTCTCCACTGGCAGCTGATATCGGCCCCCTGATTTTGTATGTAAATATATACAAAATAACTCAAAAGTGTACCATTGCTACACATATGCTTTAACAGCTCCAGTGGGAGTCAGAAATTGACTTGATTAAAAACCCACATCTCTGCAGCTCAGTGAAAGCGTAGGATGCACAGCGGCCTGTGCAGACAAGACTCTTTACCTCCCCCTGGTGGAGAACTGTCATGCTGTAATGACCATATTAGAACAAAACCCTCCACTGCTATCTGCTGCAAAACTGTTACAATAAACACAAAAATTGACGGTGATAAGGCATGATGCCTTATTTTATTTTATTTTTAAAATTACTTTATCAATATCAATATTTTATTGATTTCAGAGAGGAAGGGAGAGGTAGAGAGAGATAGAAACATCAATGATGAGAATCATTGATCGGCTGCCTCCTGCACACCCCCACTGGGGTGGAGCCTGCAACCCAGGCATGTGCCCTTGACTAAAATCGTACCCGGGACCCTCCAGTCTGCAGGGCGATGCTCTATCCACTGAGCCAAACCAGCTAGGGCAGGATGCCTTTTTAGAAGGGACCCTTCTGGGCAGTGCACAACTAGAGCAACCATATGTAACAGCCCTGAACGTAGTCACTGAAAACAAACCAACTATTTCTTCTGTTCCCCAGCCACGGAGTGAGCAATCTGCTCTGCTGGCAGGAACACCTGCGTGCTGGGCCTCGCAGACTGCTCCAGGCCCAGAGCAGAGGGCAATGCAAGAGATCTCCTGGGGTGACTTGACAACATGATTTCTTCTTATCCAGCCCTTAGATAAGGGGTGATCCTGTTCCCCTGGAATGTTTAGTTAAAATAGACATGGAATGGACAATGCACAGAAAATAAAATTCAGATGACTAATAAACAAATGAGGGGAATATTACAATCACTTGTGAACAAATAAATACAAATGAAACAACACTGTCAGTCAAGTCCAAAGTCCTCCACCCTGTCCTTGCTTTTCTAGAACTCTCTACTAGGAAGATTGAAAGGAAGCATGAGGGAAGAGGGACTTTCCTTTTCCTGTCCCCGTGCTGTCCTGGTTAGGTAGCCTAGCAGTGATGGAAGATCATGGCAGGGGCATTTGGTTCCAGACTTCTTTAGGGACTTTTTTGGGGGGACTCCCAGGACCAATCTCACCCTCTTCAGATAATGTCCAAAGTTCCATCTTTGCCAAACTCCTCTGAGTTCCTAAATTACCAGTAGCAGCCAGCAGGAGCCCCTCCTCAAAGTCCGAGGTCCGGCTCCCAGGAACTGCCCTCCCAGCACCCTTCCCCTGGCTCCCCAGCTGCTCCTGCAGTTGCTCTCTCAGATAACCTCAGTGCTCCGTCCCTGCCCTTTCACCCTCCGACGCCCATGATTCATTCCCTCTATTAAATTCTACTTGGGGAAACACCTGACATATTATATATTTATCTTAATTTGTTCTTAGATTCTGACATTTAGGTTATTCCCTTTTTTCTATTAAAAAGAATGCTGTGATAATGAACATGTGCACCCCTCTCTGGGTGCACACAGGTGAGAGTTTTCCTATGACATGGAGCCAGAAGAAGTGTTGCTAGGTGACAGGGATGGGCATCTTCATCTTTGCTGGACAAACTCTCACCCTGTGCTTCAGGGAAGCACTTTTATTCGCTACTGGAGGCCCAGTGCACGAATTCATGCACCAGTGGGGTCTCTCAGCCTGGCCTGTGGGATTGGGCCAAAACCAGCTCTCAGACCCCACCTGAGGGGTCCTGGATTGCAAGAGGGCACAGGCCAGGCCAAGGGACCCCACTGGTGCACCATCGGGGCCTGAGAGAGACACAGGAGGATGGCAAGCCAGGGAGGGACCGAGGGAGGGCTCCAGGGCGTGTCTGGCCCATCTTGCTCAGTCCTGATCAGCTGGACCCCAGCAGCTAGCTAACCTACCAGTCAGAGCGTCTGCCCCCTGGTGGTCAGTGCACATCATAGCAAGTGGTTGAGCAGCCTTAGCATTTCATTAGCATATTATGCTTTGATTGGTTGAACGACCAACAGGTCACCTGGACACTTAGCATATTAGGCTTTTATTATATAGGATTTTGTTCATCATAGTTTGCATCCCTCCCTCGGGGTATTACTAATGGCCACGAGACCAAAGAAGGAAGCTGCCTTGCTTCTGTGTGATAAAATAGTGGCAGAAGGGTCTGAGATGGGCAGAGGCAGCCTGAAAAGCTGGACTAGGTCCCTGGCCCTGTTTTGAGGGCAGAAGCAGCAGATCTCCGAGGGCTGATGCTTCAGCAGGGGTGAACAGGCATCTTGCTTGATGACTCGCTCGAGTTACAAATATTTCCAGACATTCTTCATACTGGTTCCTGCCAAGATACCCTTTGTCCAACTGCGTCTGGCTCCTTGAGGGCTAACAGCCTTGGGCCTTTCCAGGCTGGAGGCACTGGACTCTTTGCCAGGCTGGGTTCCTCAAAACCAGAGCTCTAGGCCTCACCTGAGTCCCACCACCTCTTACCTCCCCAGGGTTCCGCCGGGGACCCTGCATCAGTCCATATCCACTTCCTTCCTTTCCTGTCCCAGGGCCTCTCTGTCCTGAGACACGTGCACACACACACACACACACACACACACACTTCCATGAGACACCGTCTCCCAGCCTGGGTTCTGATGGTGGCCTCCAGTGGCAGCCACCATGGCTGAAAGACCACCAATCCTTCTGCAGGTTCCAAGTCAGTGAATAGGCGCCCTGACAACAACCCGAAACTCAGCTTCCCACCATCCTGGCAGGTGGAGGCTAGTTCGCTGAAATTGTATCCGTTTATTCCTCCAGGAAAATAATGTGTTTATTCACAACAACTCTGGGCCCTGGGCGGTATCCTTCCTCTTTTTCAGGTGAGAGAGATGAGGCCTAAGATAAAGTAACTGGCCCGAGCGGCCAGGTTATGACTTGCACAAGAGCGGGCCTGACTTCCCACTTTCTAACTTGCTGCCCAGACTCCTTGGGTAGAAGCAGAGGGAAAGCTGGGCGTGCTTCCCGGCTCCCCCAGCTTCCTGCCTGGCCACGCCTCCCCAAACAGCCGAACACCCCGGGGCGGCCCTGGACAAAGATGCCTGCAAAGTCAGCGTCCCTCCCGGTATACACTTCGTATCTGCCTGAGTGCTTCGGCTCCCGCACTGACACACGCTGCCGCTCTGGTAGCATTTTCTTACCTGCTCCTGCCTGTGTGTGGCCCTCACGGGCGGGTGCTGTCCCCTGCTCACCTGCACCTGTTCTTACCGGCATAGCCAGGCCATGGCCTAGAAACACACCTCAGCTGCATCTTCCCTTATGACAAAATACAAAAACATATG